TATATTCAAAGCTATGGTTTTTTTCACTAGTCATGTACAGATGTAAAAGTTGGACCATAAAGAGGGCTGAGCACTGAAGAATTGATGCTTTTGAATTGTGGTGCTGGAGAACTCTTGGGAGTCCCTTGGACAGCAACGAAATCAAACCAGTCAATCCTAAAGGAAATCAACCCTGGATATTCTTTAGAAGGACTGATGCTGAAGCTGAAACTCCAATACTTTGGCCACCTGATGAAAAGAGCCAAGTCATTGGAAAATACCCTGATGCTGGGAAACATTGAGGGCAGGAGGAGAAGGGGGTGACAGAGGAGATGGTTGGATGGCATCACAGACTCAATGGACATGAGTTTGAGCAAACTCTGGGGGACAGTGAAGGACAGGGAAGCCTGGGATGCTGCAGTTCATGGGGTTGCAAAGAGTCAAACATGACTTAGTGACTGAACAACAACTACAAGGAACTTCCATATTACTTTCCCTCTTGGCTGCACCAATTTACATTCCCACCCACAGTGTAGGAGGGTTCCCTTTTCTCCACACCCTCTTCAGCATTTGTTATTTGTGGAATTTTTAATGATGGCCATTCTGAACACTGGGTAATACCTCATTGTAGTTTTGATCTGCATTTCTGTAATAATTAGTGATATTAAGCATCTTTTCATATGCAACTGGCCATTTGTATGAATAATGACCTATATATTACTTTTAAATTATACTATAATTACATATTTGAAAACACTATGAATGGCAATTTTTTATTCCCACAGCCTCCTCCCCCAATTTGGGATTGACAGAGATCTAGGGAGAAAGTGAATATGAAGACGCCACTGAGTGGGTTTCTAAAAGCATGGTAAGTAGTGGAAAAACCACAGCAAAATATAACACTGACAGAGTTTTCAATAAAGTAGCTATAGTAGAAATCTATGTACATTTCAATGTATATATAATACATAAGGCAAATATACCACAAAGGGGATGGTAACAGGAAACTATTAAGGTGAGGTTTGTACATATCAAGTGGTAATATACTGATTCTGAATAGACGGTGAAAAGTTAAGTAGGTAGATTATAATCTACAGAGCAACCACAAAAAATGTTATACAAAGACAGATATTCAAAATCAGAGTAAAAAACATTAAAATGAAGTGCTCCAAGGCATTCAGATAAGCCAGAGGAAAGCAAGAAAGGGGAAACAGGGTAAAGAAAAACAGAGAGGACCAATAAAACATGAAAAATAGTGGTAGATCTAAATCAAAACATACCACCAATAATTAATTGTTAATGGCTTAAATACATAATTAAGTGAACTAGATTGTCAGAATGTATTTAAAAAACAATAAAGAGAAACACAAATAATGCTCCAACTATATGTTGGCTACAAGAACTCACTTCAAATATAGTGACATAGGTAGTGTAAGAGTAAAACGATGAATAAAAACACACCATGTAAACACTGATCAGAAGAAAGCAGGAGAATCTATTGATTATATTATCAGACAATTGTCAACTTGAAAACAAAGATAGTTACCAGGGATAAAGAGGGGCAGTCAATTCACCAGGAAGATACAATAATTATAAATATGTATTATACCTAATAACAGTCTTAAAATACATGAAGCAAAACTGAAGGAACTGAAAGGGAAATAGACAAATCCACAATTATAATTGGGATCTTCAATATTCCTCTCTCACTAATAGATAGAATCAGTAGGCAAAATATCAGCAAAGTCATAGATGAACTGAACACCACCATCAACCAACTAGATTTAATTGACATTTATAGAGTGGTCCACTCCAAAACAGCAGAATGCACATTCTTTTCAAATGCACACAGAACATTCAGCAAGATAGACTATATCCTGAATCAAGAACCAAATCTTCATAATTAAAAAAAACTGAAACCAAACAGATTGTGTTATCAGACAATAATGGAATAAAACTCTAGAAATCAAGAATAGAAAGGTAACATGAAAATCTCCAAGAACTGGGAAACTGAACAACACGTATTTAATTCATGGGTCAAAGAGGAAGTAAGTCTCAAGGGAAAAGAAAAATTCATAGAACAGAAATCAACTATACTTCAATTAAAAATACATAGAACAGTATTAAAGTGAAAATAAAAGCAAAAACCTACAGCTATCAAAATTGGGGAGTCAGAAAAAACATAGGTCATTTTCAGATTGACTACAAAAAGACACAGGAGATATTTTTGGCATAATGGAACTCTTGTATATCTTGATTGTGTTGTGGGTATACAATTGTATGTAATTTTCAAGGCTTACCGAACTGGACACTAAAAGAAGTGAATTTTATTTTCTCTAAATTATACCTTAATGAAAACAATTTAAAAGCATGCATCTGCATGAGACAAGTGCTTGGGCCTGGTGCACTGAGAAGACCCAGAGGGATCGGGTAGAGAGGGAGGTGGGAGGGGGGATCGGGATGGGGAATACATGTAAATCCATGGCTGATTCATGTCAATGAATGACATGACAAAACCCACTACAATATTGTAAAGTAATTAGCCTCCAACTAATAAAAATAAATGAAAAAAAATAAATAAAAGCATGCATCTTGTTAAGTGAAGACCATAAGTAGCAGACCAGTATTATTCTGTCATTCCAATTTCATATCTAACAAATAAATAAAACAGTTGATGAGTAGACCATTGTATCTATTTATGTACATGTATTTCAATATACATAGAAAATTGTATGCCAAGTACCAATCAAACAGTAGCAGTGGTTGCCTTTGGGGAGTGGAATGCAAAGGATTTCACTTTGTCCAGCTGTGAGGCATTTTAAACCACATGTAAATTATTTATATTTATAATCCATCATGAAACAGTATATATGGAAGATATTATGATAAACAGAGTACTGAGGAAAATAAAAATAATATTCAATATACACTTAAAACACATTTGTCTAACTCTTTGATCCACTGAAATTAATGTAGGAATGATAATTAGCTCCATATGGTTTTTAATCTAAAAAGGCAAAAAATAAAATCAAGTTCAGTGGCTACAGCTAAAAATTTAAATAAATGTGATCTATGTTCCTTCAGAATTACAGTTTATTTCAACCCTGAATATTCATTGGAAGGACTGATGCTGATGTTGAAGCTCCAATACTTTGACCACATGATGTGAAGAGCCAAGTCATTGGAAAAGACCCTGATGCTGGGAAAGATTGAGGGCAGAAGGAGAAGAGGGTGACAGAGGATGAGTGGACTGGATGGCATCATGGACTCAATGGACACAAGTTTGAGCAAACTCCAGGAGATGGTGAAGGACGGGGACGCCTGGTGTGCTGCAGTCCATGGAGTTGCAAAGAGTCAGACATGACTTAGCGACTGACCAACAACAAAAGGGAAGATGTTCTATCCTTGGTGAATAATAATAGTATCTTTTAAGAACATCAAATGATCAGGAACTGTGACTGGGTATGATTGTAATAGAGAAAATGTTATGGGGGAATATGGGCATCTTGTTCATGAACAGTTTTTAGGTAGGTTCTCACTGGATTTTGTGATATCCTGCTCTTAATGGCAGTGTCATTTTTTAATGGTTGTGCCTCGCCCCCCGCCTTCTTTTCTTAGTTAGAACCTACTAGGCCCAAGATGATAGACTTCCAGTTGACCCCAAACTTCATTATACATTCATTGTAACACATTAGCATGCTAAAGGACATGATTTTCTAGCAAGAGCTTGAAAATCCATCCAATTTCTCTTTTCGTACCTCTGACAGAGCTAGCTTTGCTCCACCCTTTGGCAGTGTGGAGGGAAGAGGGCCCAACCCCCTCCCCAAGGGGACATGGGGCCTACTTCGAGAGGCCCTTGAGGAGTTGAGCCCAGGAAGACACTCAGTCATGTCAAACACACTCCCGCTGCTTGCTTCTTCATGGGCAGTACCGCTATCAGCTAGGAATGTCTTTGCAAGGATTGCAAAGGGAAGGGGAGATACACGGCCCTGCCTCTGGAACTTCGGTCCTCTGAGCAGATCTGGAGGTCTTGCATTGTATAAGTGAACCTGTTCCTTCCAAGTAGAGGCTTGCAAACACAGGCTGGGTGGCTGCCTCTTCTTCCCAGAAGGAGGCTTGCTTTCCCCGCATCCTGCGAACTCCCAGTCCCAGCCGCCCGGAAAATCGCTTCTTGGAGTTCCTTTCTTAGGGGCAGTCATCTCTGAGCTTGGAGACATAGGGAGTAGCCCCACACTCACAGGGAAAGGCAGAGCCACCTCCACACATCTCTTGCTCTGTAGGAGAGCTCTAGTGAGCCTAGGCCTGTCAGGAGAATTTTTGGTTTTTACGAGAACACACCCTGTGTGTGAATCTGCATACCCGACCTTGGGCCCACAGGGCGCCTGTTTCGCTGGAGTGGGCCCTGAAGCGGTGCAGTCTACCAAGAGCTTGAAAATCCATCCAATTGCTCTTTTCTTACCTCTGACGGAGGAGCCTGGTGGGCTGCAGTCCATGGGGTCGCTAAGAGTCGGACACCACTGAGCGACTTCACTTTCATGCACTGGAAAAGGAAATGGCAACCCACTCCAGTGTTCTTGCCTGGAGAATCCCAGAGACGGGGGAGCGTGGTAGGCTGCCCTCTATGGGGTCGCACAGAGTCGGACACGACTGAAGCGACGCAGCAGCAGCAGCAGCCGCCGCAGTGGAACCCACCTCCTGCCTCTGCACAGCCAGGCCGCTGGAGTGCTCCTTCGGCGGCCTTTCAGTTCTGGCGGTTCGATAAACAGAGAGCCCCCCAATCCTGATGGAGCTCGTTCCTCCTCTCTCCGGGCCAGGCAATCGCGCCCTTTTTCTTTACCTGTGCTTGGTCGGTGGACAGCGAATGCTCCGGCGTGGACAGGTGTGGATGCCGCCTTCCGGTAGCCGTGACCCTGCAGGGGAAAAGGATGACGCTTCCTCTACCGCTAAGCAACTCGGAGCCGCCAGACGGAGCCTCTTCGCCCAGCTTTGGGTAGCTGAGTCGAGGCAGCTCGGTTCCCAAGTCAGAAGCGGCCGCCCCCGCCCACTCGCTGGGCACTCCCAGCAGCCGCCGCTTCTTTTAACCTCTGCGGGTTGAGACAAAAGAGCATGATGAGTCGGGCAGCCAGGCCAATCAGCGAGGCGAGGGGGCGGCCTCCCCGAGCAGCCTCCTGCTCAGGGCCATTGCTAGCAAAAAGGAGTAGCTGGCTGGCGGGGTCTGCAGCACACAGGCGCGGGAGCCAGTGCGGTGTCAAGTGCAGCTCAGACTCTTGGACCCTGTCGATTGGCATTTTACCGTGAGTTTGCTGCTTGCCCTTCACTTTCTTTCTCTTTCACCTCTTCCACCTCTGCTGTCCTCCACGCTTTGAGACCGGATGCCTTCAACAGGAGGTGGGACAGACATCAAGCGAACAGTAAAAGTTCCTCACCTTTGTACAGAGGGAAGGGGGAAAAAGCATTTACCGAGCGCTTTCTACTTGCAAATGGGCTTGCACGGACAACTTATTTATTCTTCTCAACAGCCTTACGAAGGAGGTAGCAGTATGCCCATTTAACAGAGAGGGGACTTAAGCACCCAGTCACTATGCTTAGGAAGTTCAGAGCTAAGAGCTCACACTCAAGTCTATAAGTCCGGTTTCAGAGGCTTCCCCCGACTCCTCTCTACTCTCAGATTGAGAGTTAGTTGAGAAAAGCCAAAGCCAAAGTGGAAGCGAAAAGGCCCATTTGGAACTATATAGTATTAGTGAGCAATGACTATTATCTCCATTTTACAGATGAGGAAACAGGCCCAAGGTTAGGCAGCTTGCCCCACATCACACAGCAAATAAATATCAGCATCCGGTTTTACTCTGTTGTTTTCCAAATACCAACTCTTTGCCCATCTGAGCTGCCTAGAGGGCATTTTTTTTTTACATGAGCGGTATTAAACCAGCTCAGCTGCAGTCTTAGTGTGCTGGTAGTGCTGAGGGAGGGCTTGGAGAGGCAATGCAAAGAGGGATAGGGAAAGAGGTAGGAAACTTGTATGGTACCCATTGTACAGAAGAAGAAAACTGAGGCATTTTTCTTTCTCTGTTTTACACTACAACAAGCTGCTTGCTTTTGCTTTCAGTAAAACATTATTTTTACAGCTTATGACCTGAAAGGAGACAAGACTCAGAGAGGTAAAATGATTTGCCTGAAATTAAAAGGTGAAGCCAAAACTTGTATCATATCTCTCTGACACCAGGATCCATCTATTAACCAAAGTATGGGTATGAAGCTGGCTGCCTCAGAATCATTTTGAAAAGCTTGTTAGAAATACAGATTCCTAAGCTCTGCCTCTGGAGGATTCAGATTTACTAAGAACTAGGGCTGAGGAGGGTGATTTATATTTTTAACCAGTGCTGTAGTTAATTCTGAGGTGTAGAGTGGTTTGTGAACCACTGCTGGAGACACTACATTATGCTTATGGCAATAAGTAAATGAAGATGTGGCCAATGTATCTCTCCATACAGTAGCTGTCATGAAATGTAACTTGAGAGCAGAGGTTCCTACATAGGGTCCTTCCTGAAATTGTTTGTGAAGAGTAGAATTTGAACTATGTTTATTCTTCTGAGTCCATAGCTTTATAGATGTTCAAATGAGTCTGTGGCCCAGAAATGGTTAAGAACCACTTCCCTACAATCTTTCTTCCTAACATTTTCTCTTTCAACTTGTACTTGAGGAAGAAGTATGAGAAACAAAACATAATTTGATCTAACCCCCTAAATACAGCTCTCTGCCGCTGATATAGCTCTTTCATTTCCTGGCTTGAGGACACGTTGCTAGGTTGCCCTTCTGTGAGCTCTTGAGGGGACCTCTCCTTTGCTGGATTTGAAATCACTGGCCACAGAGAAGGAGCAACTCCATGGAAACGGCATGCAGGGCTGTCCAGAGTGAATGGGCCGTGAAGCCCATGACAGAGAAATCTGCACCATTTTCCATGACTTCTGGTTCTTGAAGAGCAGATCTCACTTCCCTTATGCAGATTGTGGTTAGGAGGCCCACTTGCAGGCTTTTTCTTGACTCCTGATGCCTGGAAGCAAGTGAATAATCTGATGCCTTGTGATTGCTGTTGGGTTGTGTTCAACCTGCCAAGGAACTTTACCTGTTCCTTTCTGCCTTCTCATTGACTACCTCAATACATAGAGTTCCTTGGAGTAAACAATGCAAATTTGGAGCTTAAGCACTTTCCATCTGAGGACTGTGGACTTTTTCATGAGTGGAACAGTAGCAAAGGGATGGAGGGTGGAGGATGTAGGAAGTAGAGTGAAGCCTCACCTCACATAATCAGGGGTGATGCTGGCACAGCTCTTGGATTTCCTTCAGACTCTTGCTCTGCTCCCCAATATCATGACAACTGACCCCGGGTCTCTTGCAGACTCTTATTCTGTGTTTAAATAGGCTTCACTGCCAAAGTAGGTGATCTACAGTTGGACTTGGTGGGGGTGGAATCAAGTAGGACAAAAAATAGATCTGTAGCTCTGACAAAAAATAGTGGAAAGAGAAAGACTGTATGCTGGTGCCTGGATTGGGCCCTTAGAACAAAGTGAAGGTCTCTTTGTGCAAGGCTGGGAGGAGGATTTGCTGAACTGGCTCCAGTTACATAAAGGTATCCCTGATCTCTGGCATCAGTGTGTGGGAGTATTTCCCAATTCATGGCTCTAATGAGACCACATTTTCCAACTGTAACAAAGAAACCTTAAAAGACTGAAAGTTATGAAGGTAATGCTCTTAGTTGAAACAATAATAGCTGCCCTTGGCTGCCTGCCTTCTTGGTGCCAGGGAATTTCCATTTGTTATCTTATTTAAGCTTCTCAGCAATGCTGAGACAGGCAATGTTATCCCACTTTGCAAATAGGAAAACTGAGTTTCACGGAGGTTAACACACCTTGTAAGTGGAGGCACTGGGATTCCAGTCTGGGGCTGTGTCAGACTCCAAAGCCCATGACAACTCTTCTCTGTTGTCTTCCAAACAAACAATTTAAACAAAAAAATCCTTTCATTTTATTTTTTAAATCAATTTTAATTGCTATAGAGTTTATTTACCATCTTGTGTTAATTTCTGCTGTACAGCAAAATGATTGTTATATATATATGCATATGTAAATGTATATACACACACACACATATGTATAAAGCTTCCCATGTGGCACTAGTGGTAAAGAACCCCTTGCCAATGCAGGGGACATAGGAGACATGGGTTCAATCCCTAGTTTAGGAAGATCCTCTGAAGAAAATAGCTACCTATTCCAGTATTCTCGGACACCATGGACAGAAGAGCCTGGTGAGCTACAGTCCATAGGGTCACAAAGAGTTGGATGTGACTGAAGTGAGTTAGCATGCACATATGTTCAGTTCAGTTGCTCAGGTGTGTCCGACTCTTTGTGACCCCATGGACTGCGGCACGCCAGTCTTCCCTATCCATCACCAACTCCCAGAGCTTACTCAAACTCATGTCCAGCAAGTCGGTGATGCCATCCAACCATCTCATCCTCTGTCCATCCCCTTCTCCTCCTGCCTTCAGTCTTTCCCAGCATCAGAGTCTTTTCAATTGAGTCAGTCCTTTGCATCAGGTGGCCAAAGTATTGGAGTTTCATTTTCAGTATCAGTCCTTCCAATGAATATTCAGGACTGATTTCCTTTTATGGACCACAGCCTTGTCTAACTCAATGAAACTATGAGCCATGCCATGTAGGGCCACCCAAGACAGACAGGTCATGGTGGAGAGTTCTGACAAAATGTGGTCCACTGGAGAAGGGAATGGCAAACCACTTCAGTATTCTTGCCTTGAGAACCCCATGAACGCACATATGTATGTATGTATGTATATATACATATATATACATATATGTACATATATATATACATATATGTATATATACATATATATACATGTGTATATATATATACACACACACATATATATATGCACATTACTTTTATATTCTTTTCCATTATAGTTTTTCATAGGATATTGAATAGAGTTCTCTGTGCTATATACAGTAGGACTTTGTTGTTTATCCCTACTACATATAAAAGCTTACACGTGCTAACCCCATCCTCCCACTCCATCCCTTCACCAACTCCTTCCCTCTTGGCACTTACCAGTCTGTTTTCTATATCCTTGATTCTGTTTCTGTTTCATAGATAGGTTCATTTCCAACAAACAATTTAAAATGCACACTGCAGACGGCCCAGTTTATTAGACTGATTTCAGACTTTAGAGCAATGTTGTTGTAATCTTACCTATATTCCTGGGATCTCATTTTTTAAATACAACTACTAATATAATGTATGGACCAACTTGTATACTGGGTACCATACTAAGTATTTTGTATACTTCATCTCATGCAACCTTCATGACAATCATTTTACAGGTAAGGGTACTGAGGTTCAGAGAGTGGAAGAGATTTGGCCAAGGTCATAAAGCTAGGAAGTGGAGCAGTGAAATTCGAACCCAGGGCTATCTGATTCTAGAGCCTGTATCTTTATGCTATAATGCATTGCAGTGGGGCAAACAAATAAGGCCCTCATTATAAACTGACTTGTCTCTGTCAGCCACAGATCTCTCTCCTTCCCACAGCCTGCATCCAGAACTGGGTACCACTCATGCTTTTAGGCATCTGTGCTTTAGGCCGCTTCCTCAGCCTAGAACTCCTGTCGTCACTCCTCCATCTAACTAGAGCCCACTCATGGGTCAAGAATCAAGTCAGATGCCCCCACTCAGAGAAATTTTAGGCTGCTCCCTATGCTCAGTCAGTCAGCTCAGTCGCTCAGTTGTGTCCAACTCTTTGTGACTCCATGGTCTGCAGCGCTCCAGGCTTCCCTGTGCATCACCAACTCCCAGAGCTTGCTCAAACTTATGTGCAGCAAGTTAGTGATGCCATCCAACCATCTCATCCTCTGTTGTCCCCTTCTCCTGCCCTCAATCTTTCCTAGCATCAGGGTCTTTTCCAGTGAGTCAGTTCTTCACATCTGGTGGCCAAAGTATTGGAGCTTCAGCTTCAGCATCAGTCCTTCTGATGAATATTTCTGACTGATTTCCTTTAGGATGGACTGCTTTGATCTCCTTGCAGTCCAAGGGACTCTCAAGAGTCTTCTCCAACACCACAGTTCAAAAGCATCAACTCTTTGCTGATCAGCTTTCTTTATGGTTCAACTCTCACATCTATACATGACTACTGGAAAAGCCATAGCTTTTGACTATATGGGCCTTTGTCAGCAAAGTGATGTCTCTACTTTTTAATATGCTATCTAGGTTTGTCATGGG